TCCCCCTCCCTGAATTCTATACCTATGCTGAGGCTTCCTCTTCTCAAGAACATGATCCTTGTTGGGAAGAAGTACAGGATTTGTTATGCCAAGTTAGTATTTATCTCTTTATGACGAATAGTTGTTTTTTCGTAACTTTTCAATCATGTGTTAGTAAAAAATAAATCAGTTTTTGCTATGGCTTTATAGATGGCTGATTTGTATGAATTTTACACACTATTTTTTATTTAGTCAAAGCGAAAACCTTAATACTCCACCATATTTCAGGTTATACCGCCACCATCTAGTGATTATAAAAACAATTAAACTATAAGAGTAAATGTGAGTTTTAACAAATATTGTTTTTCAAGCTAAGAGCCAAACTACATTTTTGAAACTGTGATTGCATTGAAAATAAAAAAAAATATTGAAATCTATTTATAAAATAGGAGTCATTTGAATTTAGTAAAAATGCAAAACTGATGAGATTATTTGTATTTAAAATACTGTTATTAGACAGGATCAAAGAATACCCATCAAAAGGATTAAGATAGGAATAATGACAGCTATAGGTACTTAGAGAAAATGGCCATTCATATTAAGTGAAATATGACCATATTAAGACTACACTAGATGGAATGCCAAGTGTATGAAACCATATTTAGATCAACCAATTTATTATATACAAGAATAGCTTATTATGGGAGTTTAAAATGAGCTCATTTAAGGGATAACCAAACCCAAACAGGTCTTTTTCAGTTGAGTTGGAGGCCTTATCAAGAGGGGCTCTTGTATGAAACCTCATGAAATATCTTAAAAAAGTTATTAATAAGAAAGATACAGAGATTATCACTTGTTATTACAAAAAAAAATTGTTAATGTCCCTTTTTCTCGTTAGTTTTTAAATATAAACAATGACAAGCCAAAGAAATAAAACTAGCATAATTAGGATGCATGAAAAGAACCTAAATTTTATAAGATAACATAACTTATCACCTATAAACACTTTCCAACTGCTCAGACAAATTATTTAATGCTTTGAAAACATCTTTTGTCTCAATAAAACACCTAGACCAGTCTTTTAAAAAACCAAAAACATATGTAAAAAAGTCTTTGAAGACTCGCTCTGAATTAGCCATATATTAAATTGAACGAGTTATAAGTACGTTAGTTGAAATAAATCGAATGTTTTGAAAGTTCAAAGTGTTTCCTTCAAAGAAGGTTAATGATCTACTTAGATGAACAAAAACCATTATCGTTAGCCAAAGAGGTTCTATTATATTTTCCATTCTTTTGTTTTAAATATTTATCTATTGCTATGTGTAATATTGTTTATGAATTATCACGTGAAATATTGCTCACCAACCAATTATGTTTATCCGAGTTTACTATATATATTTTCTTTTTATTCTTTTCAGTATTTAAACGATTTGGCGGAAATATATTTTGTTTGTAATGTTATTTCTTTAAAATGTATACATTTTTTAAAATGATAAATGGAGAAAGATGATGGGGGAAGTGCATTTTCGGGATATGTTGACCTTACAATGTCATGAACTTTAAAACACCGATCTTTCACAAACCAGCCTCGATAATGCTTTGAAAATGGAGTATAACAAATTGTAAAGGAATCAGTCGCATTATGTTTATGAGTTAGATCTTCAACTTCTGCTGTACAGCTGTATTGGTGTTCATTCACCAATAGTTCTTATATTATATTTGCTGAAAGTGGAACTTTCAGAAGCTGTTCTTCAAAATGCTTAGTAATCTTATGTTTATTTTTGACAGTTTTTATTCTAGGTTTTAAGTGCTAGTCCGCAGTTGTATAACAAAATAACAGAAATAAGTTCTGCTTTAAAATGTAGCGAACATATTCCGAAGCTTTAATCAGTGTCAAAATAACTCTTTTGGGGTTTTCTCAACTACTATTGTATTTTTCAAGAAGACTGTTATACCAAATTCAAATTTAAAATAAACAAAATTATCTACATTTCATGTCAGTAAAGATGTTTTCTACAATCAGCCTATATAATAATAAGTCAGTACGAGCATCACTATTGTAGCGAAATTATTGTAAAAGTGGATCAACATATTTTTCGTCTTTGCATCTCTATTTGACGTAGAATAGCCCGACAAGTCTTTATAAGTATTATAATTTTGTTACATTTCAACTATCGGGGTCGATTCGTTATTCAATTTCTTAAAAAATTATAATATACTCTCCCGTATTTTTATTTTGAGCTATTTTTCCCTGATCGATTTTCACCAAATAGAAGGAAAGAGGTGACAGATTTATACACCCAGTGCCGATCTTAGAAATTTGACACGAGAAATTACGTCATGAGCTCTCAAAAAATATCAATAAATTTATAAAATGTTGTATATTCCAACTTCCTCCTTTAGTCATATACGATCATCTCATCACACTCAGCTCCTCCGTTAAAAATCTAGGAATTGCCATTGACGAAAAGCTCTCCTGGAAATTAAGTTATTTCTTTGCTACTGTAATCTACTCCCACAACCTATCTTCAAGCTGCTTGTCTCTTCTCTCATTTTCTTCAACTTTGACTCAGGGGCGGATCTACCGGGAAGGCTTTGGCTTTCAGGCTGAATTGAATTTTGATTGAAGGGAATGGTTGGTTAAATTGCTTGTTTTAATTTTAAGAATCAACTCACAGTGTTTATAATGTTTTGTTTTCTATTTTTCTTTTCATTTTAATTATTTTTTAAAAACATTTTTACTTTCTGTTGTTTATATATTGCCACTGAAGATATTGAATATATTGTTTAATTTTTATTAACATAGTGTAGATTTTGACCAAATATGGGTTTTGTTCATAAATGTTATAATTAAGGGACCTTGTACCAGAATAAAGTTTATTTTCTAGCTATCTATCTATCTATATTAATTTATATTTGAATTGTGTTTGATTCAGTAGATATCACTAATTCAATCGATTCTTAATATGCCAAACTTAATTTATCTTCTACATTATATATATATATATTTATATATATATATATATATATGTTGACCAATATTGGGAGGCACTAGAGTCAGGGCTAAAACATACAGCTAAGGAAGTAATAGGAATTCAGGAAAAAAAGAAAAGCCAAGAAATGGTTCATGTGAAAAGGCAGAAGCATGCGAAAAGGCGGTGGAAGAAAGAAGAAAAGCCCTTTGCTTAGCAAAAACTAATCAAGCTATGCTGGACAAATACACAGCCACCAGGAAAAAGACAAACAAAATAATAATAACAGCAAAAAAAGAGAATTCCTCAAAGAAAGATTACAAATTATTGAGGAAAACTGGCAGACTGGAAATATATGCGAATTCTTCGCAGATATCAGAAGAGAAAGGATAGGATATAAAGCGAGAAATATGCAAATGAGAGGGAAAAATTGCAAATTGATGGCATCAAAAAAAAAAAGATCCAAAAAATCTGGAAGGAACACTTAAAGCATCTACTCCCTCCCTCACTCTCTCTGCTTTAAAAATATGTTTAGTCAACAATGAGAAAGACTTAAACAAAGACATAATTTAATAGCCTTTTATAAAGTTTATTGATTTACATTTTTATTAAATTATTAGTTTAATGAAAATTGTGCTAATGGTATGTTTGAAGCAAAAACTTAGGCCTAGGAGCATTTATAATTTAAATCAAACTTGGGGCTATTCATGTTTAAGACCTTGTTATTCAATATTTTAATTCAGACAATAAAATAATTTTTAAATTATTCATGGTATGTTTTCAAAAATAATTTGTTCTACTATTTTTTATTTTTTGTATTATAATAATTTAAAAATGGTGAATGTATTTACCAATAGATAAAAATAAATAATTATGGATTGATGGTTGACTGTAGTGAATAATTGAAGAGAAGGATGGATGGGGTGATCAGTGAAAATAAAAAATAGGAAAAATAAATAATTATATTTAAGTTTTGCCCCGAAATTCAGGCCTTCATCGGGGCTAAGAAAACACCAGATAACAAAAGGTATAAGAAACTATAAATATTGAATAATAAAGAATTAAAATTAAAAGATGAAAGGTATAGACGAAAAAATGTAGGTAGAATAAACTTAAAGTAAAATAAAGTAGATAGAGTGAACATTAAAGTAAAATAAAGTAGGTAGAATAATAGCAGTAACAGAGAATAAATAATAACGGCAACCAAGTATGGACAAATGAAATAAACATAATCAAAATAAGGTAACATAAGAAATGAAAATTGGTAATCTTAGAATAAAATGTAAAATAGAGAAAAGGAAAATGAAGTTATATAAGGAAATAATAGATGTAAATAGAATATTGAGGTATTGTAAAATCTATCAAAATATACTGACTACGTATAAGAGAATAAAAAGTTAAAATAATGTAAAAAAGATAAATGAGCTAATGTATCAATATATACACAATAGAGATATGGAAAATAGTGATGGGAAAGAGGATAAATAAATAAATCAAAAACCATTTCATCCTAAAGAATAACCCAACAAAAATTTTCATACAAAAAAAAAAAAAAAAGGTAAAAATACTGTCTACATTTATCTATGGTGGGAGGGAAATAACCAGGCAATTCTACATTTATCATTTATATTTCCAGTTATTTATTTTTCTTTGACATTTTTGCAGATTTTAACAGCCCTATATCTCAATAACTGTTCCAAGTTTTCCATCATGAAGAAAATTTGATCTTCTTCAATAGTGGTAATAATATATGTTTGCCTAAAATACACTGATATTCCTAAACAAATATCGAATATTTGAAAACAAATTCAAATTTATAACTTAGAATTCTGTGGTATGAAGTAACTGACTGTCCATGATGATCATGTTTTCCCTTACTGTGCATTTCATGTGTAGGTGAAATTAAAAAAATATAAATAAATAAAATTGTAAGTTATTCTCTTCAAAATTTTGGTAACATATTTTTTACAACCAATATCATAATTTTATAGGGACCCCACCTCATCCCAAAAAATCTGCAACATATATTATATCATAAAGAAATACACACTCGTGGTCATTTCATGTTCCATTTGGCATGCAACAGTTGGAGTAGAGTGGTTGCCATCTTACGGACTAGATCCTTCATAGGTATTTGAGTGTAAACATATTGAATTTTGTTTACTTTTAATTTGTTTTATTCATTTTGCTGATAATCATTTATTACATATAGATTGTAATAAAAAAAATCAATGGATAATTTATCTTTAAACAAATAATACAATTAAAAAAAAAAGTTGAATGGAAAAGTGTTTATTTATACAAACAGATAATAAAAAATTTCTTTAATAAACAATTGCCTATATATAAAGAATATTTAATAATATAACAATGCTGATAATAATATAAAATTTTAATTTTCCTAAACTAGGAAAAGTTTGGCACTGTTAGAGATACTCAAAGTTTTTCTAAACCTCCTACATAAATGTATCATACAAAAAAATAAATAGTATTGCATTCCATCTTATCATTAAGGCTATAATAACTATAGGGGTATGCTATGCCTCATTATTTTAATATTTACAATTGTACTCGTTAAATGTTTGGCAAGAAAGTAAGAAACACTCTTTTTGAGCTTTCATGTAAAAAATAAAAGTGTAGGACATTGCATTATAAAAATTCTCAATATTTAATTGCATGGAAGAACAGAAAAATGCAATAAAATACATTTAACTGATAAATACTAACAGCTAATAGCATACACATGTATCAAGCTTGGCAAAACAATGATTCTATAAAAGAAGTCAGAGAAACATTTGCAACAAACTAAGATTTATTAATATTTACAATATAAGTATGAACATATAAATCAATCTATACATAATTATGTTCATAGAAAGCGTGTATACAATACAAACCTTATTTCAATAAGAGAAAATTATAGATAATTTTACATAATTGTTTGAAAGACATGTTCAACTATGAAATAACTAATTACATAAGAATTATCTGTCATGACAATATACTAAGAATTTATCATAACAATTTTGTATGATAGTCAGAAGATCAAAACAAACTATCTCACACAGAATCTAAATCTTAATTTTCTATGTCTAAACGGACGGATAAAGTCTAAATTGCACTATACATTTGTTATAACATAAAATGATGTAGAAAAATATGCTGATTTATGAAAAACAGACATTATTCAAAATATGTATTATTTAATGAAGTAACTACTACTAGGTTTATCTTAGAGGTTTTACTACTAAATTTATTTAATTTCACAAATATTTCAACAAACCAAAAATTGACCTTATAATGTTCTAAATTCAATACTGGTAACACAATAATGAATAAAAAGATTAAATATGTTCTCAGGATACTGAATAAAAACAGACAAATAGATTTTAGCTGCACTTAAATATAAATCTGTATTATAATCAGCAAATTTTCATTATCAATAAAATTTAAATCCAACTAAATTATGAATAAATAGTCAACAGCTACCGTTAAAGAAGTTTACTACTAAACATTTGTTTATTTGCAAAACTAGCTATAATTGTTATGTCCATATTATCTTAAATTTATTTTTTCAAAAGTTTTCTTAGTTCCAGAAAAGTAAACGATAAAATGATGGGGCTGGTTATGCTCATAGATGACCAACATTTACTTAAAACAAATAATATACATATTTAAAACTGATATTAAATAAATCATTTCAAATCTAATAAAATAAATTATGAAATTAATTTGTGTACCCATTAAAAAATGGTGGAATAGTAAAAATCCTCAATCCAAGAAGTTAATAAACCGAAACTTTTTCTCCATCACTTAGAAATTTTATCTATCACAATTTAAATACTTTATATATATATATCAAAAATTATATATAAGTTCTAAGATTTATATTGTAAGGTTTTGAAATATCAATAAAACATTTTAAAACTTTCATGACATACAAAAAAATCAAGTAAAAGTTTAAGAGACTATTCAATATGAACATTCCTACTAAAATTAATACATTCACTATATGAACAAACTAAAAAAAAACTTTTTATTTTGATTGTTTAAATACTAGGTGTCTATTTTCTTACTAATTAGCATATTCACATACAACAGGTAATTATACATAACACCATTGTCTTTCTTTGATTTCACTTGAACTAAATTTGAAGAGAGTAAAATTAAAATTGAGAAAGAAAAGCAATAAAAGAATTAACAGCACTACTCCTGTTTTTAATAAACAAGATATGCATGTGTTTATCCATCATAACATTTCAATTGCATTATATTAATTTTATTACAGCTGGTAGGGCTGTAATGAAAATTTCTAAAAAAATAAGCATTATTCTAACTCATATCCATAAGTATCATATAATCATTTAATTACTTTTTATTTATTAAGCCTATTGTTTTGATTTAATAACTAACACAGTTGGGACAGAAGGGCCTCAGATGAGGTCCAGGCTCCTTGAGATTTATCCTTATCCATTTACTTTGCTATCCATAGTGGATATTGTTTGTTTTTAATTCAGTTTGAAATGTAAAAGTACACTTATACCTTTCGAATGGTTATTTTTCATAATGAATAATACAACGCAAACTAAATATTAATATTTTGAACAGACACTTTTGTTTTTAAATTTACTATAGCTTTCATATAGTGTTGCTGAAAACAAAAATATTATTTTAGACATGAAAACTGGAATATTGGTAAATATTTAGCTATATAGAAACTAATAGGTCTTGCAAACTAGAATAAAAAACTGAGATAAGCGTTTGTAAAATATACTATTGAGAATTTTAATAAATTATTGAGTCCTTCTCTCTTACTTTACACTGCATTGTCAAGAATTTTTGACATTGACACCATATTCTACAAAAGTATTAGCATTACTGTACAAAAATTCAAATTAATGTTAATTTTATATAAATCAGAAATTCACAGATTTAAGAAAACGACCCAGAATTAGATAGTTAATGGTGATGGTTTAAGCTCCAGAAATTGGAATGGCACATGCAGACTATGGCTGGAATGTTCGACGACAAGGTGCCCTCTTCTTGGTGACGCTCCTACAACTGTCACAGTATCACCTTTCAACAGAGAGACTTCTCCACTCCCATCATCTATAATGCCAACAACAAACAAATAAATAAACATTCAATCAATACTAATTTAAAATTACTTTGGATCATTCAGAATCACTAATTCACTTTTTAATCATATTAATTAATCATATTTTATTTTTTATATATTTTATATTTTTTTCTTCCATGTTACTACACACGAATATAAAAATTTATAAATAGTGTCACAACTATCAATAAAATGTTTTTTTTGTAATTAAAATGAATAAAATATTTTATAAGAATTTTTAAATAAACCTTTAAGAATACAATAGAAATTGATATAAAGTATTAATAAGCCTCAATTATATATTTCTTTAGACCTATGGTCAAGAAGTGGGAAAAATAATGAAGAAAGGTCTAGACTATAAACTAATATTTCTTTAATATTTAAACTGTAAAAAGAACAATAAAAAGTATAAACATATTTTAACATTATAACAGACAAAATTATTTTGGCTTAACACATTTATTTAAAAAACTTAAATTGACAGATGTAGAACTGGAATTAATAAATAAAGTAAATTTGGACCATACCCATTAAAATAATCCCTTCACAATTAATATGATAGCACATAAGGCTGGATGTTTCAATTGTATAGAGGCTACTTTACTCATTGTCAGTTCAATTCTGAACTGCATACAGAATTCTGTACCTTTTGATATATTTTTTTTTTTTTTTTAAGATCTTTTGAAGTACACTCTTAAGCAGGCAAACCAAGTTTACTTTTTATAAGACCTAAATCCATCCTGTCCTTGTCTATGCCTTACAAACATTAACCATTTCTAAAAGTGACGGAAAGAACCTAATGATTTTTGAACAAAAAATCAATTGGCATATTATTGGTCCATTGGGATTTGTCAAGGAATGGAAGATTAGGAAGAACTGCAAGCTGTACCAAATCTATAAGGAGACTGATATCAGATTCATTAAGCATGGAAAACTCAGTTGGGCTGAGTGAAGAAGATGGTTAGGATAAGTGAGGAAGAAATAATGAGGAAGGTATCTGAAGAGGTTCTTCATAGGACTCGAAAAGTTGGAAGACCAAAGTTAAGGTGGGCTGACAGAGTGACACCAGACGCAAGAAACATTCTACGGATCATCAATTAGAAGGCAGCAGCACGAAATAGAGCCAAATGGCAGAGGCTTATTGAGTAGGCTTATTGAGAAGACCCACTCAGAGATGTAGCGTCACAAAGGTAGATAGATTATTTAACTTTTTATCATCCTTAATTTTCAACAATTTGTTTCTCGTCATTCTTAAACCTTGTTTTTCTTCATTTATTTTATTAGGAAAGAGATTTATATCATCTATTATCTAAAGAACTGTTTTCTCTTCTGTTCAAGGATAATGATTCTTCAGACTGAAGACTAAACCAGAGCCAGTGCTTGAGCTAGAGAAGGCTTGTGCCTCTTATTCATTACAACTCTGGTTAGAGTTGCTAAGTCAACTATTTATGTTGTGCTCCAGTGTTTCCAGGAGAATGTTACCTTTTGATTGAGATTGTAAATTCAGTTTTCTAAACATTTATTGTGGTTTTATTTATAACAATAGAATGATTCATATGGATAAGCTACTCTTGCCATTTATTTAGTTAGTGTAAATATAAGTAAGCATTGTAAGATTAATAATTTAATTATTTCTAAATAACCATTTTAAACAAATACATTAAAAAAAACAGTGACAATAACATTTCTCATTTGAAGGAAGGAAATGGTCCGGGGTTGCGGTCATAAATGGGGTAAATAGTGGTAAAACTATTTTATTGAAAGCCGACGTTTCATTCTAGCTCTGATGAAGACCTGCAAAGTTGGGTCGAAACGTCGGCTTTCAATAAAATAGTTTTACCACTATTTAGCCTATGGCTTGTAAAACTCAAAACTACACAAGAAGTGATAATTACAATAAAAGTAATGAATAGTAAATTTTTTCCAAAATTAAAAAGTTACAAACCTGGAAATGGCATTTTCATGATTCTAGTTTGTGGGTATCCAAGCTTAGTGTTACCAGCCACAGTATAAGGACGACTAGGAGGTACTGGTGGTGGTCTTTCCTATAATGAATATCTTGGTTAAATTTGTTTTCAAGAAAAATAAATATAAAAAATATAGCTTAGTAAACATAGAGGTATAAGTATTACTCACCTAATTCCTTTAAAACTCATACCAAATAAATTAAAGTTAAGAGAGAAGCTTTCCAAGCTTTAAATCTTGACACATAAATTTGGACGCTATTTTACCCTAACAAATTGTAAGAGATGGATATATAGTTGACTTGAAATTATGAGGATAGCGATTAATCAGGACATGTGGTCATAAATGTTGTTTATTAAGCTTTCCGACCTAAGCTTGTTGGTCATCATAAGGACAATGGTTGCTGGCTAGAATAACAACAAGAAGCCTCTTGAGTTCTTGTTGTTATCATTACCCTGATGGTGACCAACGTGCTTAGGGCCAAACTTAATAAACAACTTAACTGACTACATATCCTGATTATTAGTAATCCTTTAACCAATTTTGATTAAATCAACTAATTTCTGTAGTCTGCCAGTTAAATTAAAATTGTATACAACTTCTGGCAAACAATAAAGTTAAATGGCCTTTGGATATCTATAGAGGACTGATGAACTATTTTATTATTTCTAATATTTAAGATAATATTATAATAAGAAAATTTCATTGATTCATCTTGAATCCAGATCTATATAGACCTTCATTATTTTTGTGTTGTTTTTCATGACTCAAGTTGTAAAAAGTACACTAAATATTTACAAAGTTGTTACGAGTACAATAAATATTTTCAAAGTTGTAAAAAGTATACTAAATATTTATAAAAACATTGAAGGGAATAATATTTATTAGAGTCAGTTTCTGGATTCTTTATGCTATATGATAATAGATTCTTTCTATTACATCCCAGATCTTTTATTGTTTAGTAGAAGATAAGCATTTTTAAAAATATTTTGAATGGTAGAAGATCAAGATCACTTATACTTACAAGATCAAGACCAAACAGGGTGCAAGTTTGTGCAATTATTTTGTGATCGCACTTATCAGTCAGTTCTGGTGGTGGTGTGCCAGCAATTGGTTGCGGCCTTGGTCGTGACAATGGCCCAACTGCACTTCTTACTGTAACATTAAAGACCAAAGAAAGTTGTAATTTTTTTTTAAACTAAGTCTAAATAATCATTTTAATATTTTGGTTCTATTATCGAATGTAATTATAAAAAAAAAACTTAGACTACTATAATACAGCACCATACTAAACAATAGCAGATGAAGAAATTTAAAATTATTTTTCAGACTAATTCTACAACATTAACAAATATTCTAAAGTTTCAGAAGTTTGATTTAAAAAAAAAATACAAACATAAAATTAATTTTCTTTAACTAAATTTAATTTTTCTGTAGTAGCAAAAAATACCTTAGTAACTGAAAACATAATACATATGAGTATTACGAATCATTTTTAGTATTTCTTACATTTAATATTTAAAAAAAAATAATGCTTTAGTTTTTGAGTACTTACCAAAGAGTAGCAAGAGACTACTGGATCTATATTAATATTTAAGGGCAAATCACTATTCAGACTAGGTAATAACTGTTGGGAGATTACACTACTAAACTTATTAAACTAAATAATAATTGCTTCAGTAGGCTTTTTTGTTAATGGGATATCAAGCAATGAATTTATTAAATATATTTTTTGCCAGTAATGGTATCCATACCTTTTGTGATTGAAGGATGATGGACAGCCTGTAGAGTACGCTTAAGTGCAGGCCAACGCTTCCTACAATGGTAGCCTCTCCAAACAGACTGAATAGTAACAGCAGCTCGATGGAGAGTTTCCCACCTGACCGCTTCCAGTTCTTGCCGAAGACCTTCACTATTTACATATATACATGCATAAATGTTATGTAATTAAATGTTAAGCAATTAAATTGATAAAGCACAGAAAATTTGGACTCAGGAAATATCTCAGACTGATTAAAAGCAAATCAAGATTAAGGTACTTTTTATAAATTTACAACTAAAAATAGGATGTCTACTTCCTGACTTTTCTAGCTCTATATATATATATATATATATATATATATATATATATATATATATATATATATATTTTACATAATTTAATAAATACATAAACATTTCATCTGATTTAAGGAGCCAAAATATAATTTTTTTGGAAAGAAAATATATATATTAAAAAAACGATTTGTCTTTATTATCAATTAAACAATTCTTAATAAATAGCTTCAACAACGTAATTAGAATAAAAATATACTGATAAACTTAGTTTTATAAATTTTATTTTTATACTGGTATGATACATAAACTATAGTGGAACAGAGTACTGTGTATTCTGTGAATTTCGGCAAGTTTTCATAAAATTTTCTGACTTTTTCAAGTTCACAAAATTCTCTGCTTTTTCATGTTATTATAGATCTGATAGGCACTCTGTGGAAAAGATATGACTTTCTTTCTTTTTTAAGGCATTAAAAAATTAAGGCCATCTCTGTTTGCAAAATAAATAATATAAACTGAGTTAATAATGAAATTACCTGAGGAAGATGTGCCTCTTGCCAATGGCCCAGGTGACCACTAGTCCTGCCGGCCTCGGCTTGCCTTCCAGACAGCTGAGGATCGTATGACAGTCCTCAACATATTTCTCTTCTCCTCTTCTCACATCTGTTGCCCTAGCTATCACTCGATATCTTGACAAGAACGCCTTAAATCTCATTCGATGGGGAAATCCTGTTAATGATATCACATTTAGAGTCTTTATAAAGCTTATCAACACAGCTTTACTAACAATTCATTTTACATGGATTGGGAAAATAATAACTAGTTCATAATAATTATAAAACACAGAATCATCTTCTGTTTAAAAAGTAGGAAATAAATTTTAATAAAAATAAAATAGGAACAACTGCATTATTTGAGGTCATGGTAGAATGCTCGTTTCAGAACAAGTATAACTTTTTTCAGCCATAAATAAATTAAAAACAATATAATTAAAACTATCACATAAATTTGGTGAAGTATGTCATGAAGTAATTTGTATGTTTCTACAGTATTATTCCAGGGTAGTTGTTATGATTTTTTATATTTTTCAACATAATATAGGTCAAGGAGAATCACTAACCTCCAGCCATAAGATTGACAGTTTCAAGTACTTGTAAAGAACGAATTTGCCTCATGACAACAGCTCTATCAAATCGCTGAGGGGTCTCTGTAGCATTTGCTCTCACACAACGAATGAAATGTGGCCTTGCATGTACTAGTGTTCTCAGAAGATTGTCCAATCTTGTATGAAAGTCCTGAGTCAGTGTTGAAACAGGTTCATCGCCATTCAAGCTTTAAAAGATAAAATATGGTACAATATAATAACAAAACACAGAAATCATAAAAAGTAATTCAAACCAATAGAAAAATAATTAATAATTAATTTAATACTTTTTTTTTATTTCCCTCTCCCTTCCTTGTCTTTTCAACAATATGGGATTCCGTTTTATACAACAATAAGCTTGGCTTTTCTTGTTATATTCCTCTTTTCTTGCTATATTTATATTAATTAATTTAATACTAATAATGTTTATTACTATTTATTTATTAAAATGATTGAATCAATTATTTCAGATTATTTTTTACCGTTTTTTTTTTTTTTGTTTAGAGAGTTTCATGGTATATTGTTTAAAGGCATATCTTTTAAAGTAAATTAAAAACAATAGTTGAATTATAAAAAAAACCTACAGAAATTAGGAAATTCTATCCACTCTAAGAGAATGTACTTCCATATCTACTTAAACATCTTAGTCGATTGATACGGAAATTGACATCTACGAATATTTAAACTTTGTGTAGTAGTAGGGAGCCTTTCACTACACATTACAGCTACAGGCAAATTTCGTCCCATGTATTGGTGCATTTAAACATCCAATCTTGAGTTTTGTTCGGGGGAGGTAGGCACCTGACTACTACACCAAGTTTAAATATTCCTATTAGTAGATATTAATTTCCTAATCAATCTACCAGATTTTTAAATAGTTATGGAAGTATATTTCCTTAGGGCGAATAGAATTTCCCATTTTCTGTTGTCATTTGTTTTTTTTATTTTAATCTTTTTTGAATTTAATATATTAACAATTTAAATTTATAACACACTTACAGCACCTCATCAAATAATTTAAGATCACAGGATATCATTTCCAATCATTTAATAATTAAGAAACGATTTTTTAATTTTATTTTTGCTTCCTCACTACTGAAGGTTGGGAAGCATTGTATTCGTGCGAGAGGTTAAAAAAAATATTGTGCTCAGAATCGAAAATTTTCATTCGTGTTTTACGTTTCAAACATCAAGGATCAAATTTGGTTCGGTGTCTGTCTGTCTGTAGTTACATCGATGTAACGGGCATATCACCTACTACTATTTATCTGATTTTCATGAAATTTTCAGGAATTGTGCGAGTTGGTATCTAGATGGTCCCATATCAATTTTATTAAATTCTAACCAGACTTCCGCTTACGCACGAGCAAACGCATTTTTGTAGGTATGCCAATATTTCAGAAATGGCTCGTTCTATTTGGCTCAAAATTGGATAAAAGGTAGGCATTTGTGAAAAAATAATGTAGGGTCAATTTTATTGAATTCTGTCCATTGATTTCTCTTACATGTGGGCAAATGTATTTTCCCTGATATGTCTATATCTCTAAAACCGCAAGCTCAATTTGACTCAGATTTAGATGGAATTTAGGGATTAAATTAGTATTAAACATAAAATGAAATAAGCATCAATTTTATCAAATTCTATCTACTACTCCAAAAAAAAAAAAACTTCCGCTTTCAGATCAGGAATGTGTTATTTGATATGCCTATTATTTGAAAATGGAGCATTCAATTTGACCCAAACTTGGTGGAACTTTGGAGAACAGTATAGAAATAACTTATTATAAATTTCATTGAATTCCATTTAATAATTAAAATTAATATAAAATAATTGTTAACAATATAATGACTGTGAAATGTTGAAGGCACTAAACATATGGAGTGGGAGTTAGCTTAATACGTTATTGTTATGGAGTTATAAAATTATAGGTTTCATTCAAAAAATTAATTGATAATTTATTGTTATTGTTTGGTCAATTCCAAACATTACTGGCATGACACTTACTGCCGTTACTTAGATTTCGTGTAATTTGCAGTACATTTAAAGTAATTTTTACTCTGAGTCTGTGAAAAAAACAAAAACGTGATTGTTTTCATTTCCATTGAAGTCCAACCAGTTCGTCTTGGTCTCGATTTCCTCCTTAAATATCGAAGTTGTATGAACTTCATCCATATTTTTATATTTTCTAGCTTGATGTGTTTTGTTCTGACTGAAGAAAAGTATTGGTCTCATTAACTCCGAACAAACAAGTTGAATTTTTCCTATGGATTTTCTAGTTCCATCCATTTTACGAGTGAAAACATACTTATTATGTATATATCACTACTATTAGTGCAAAAGGTTGCATGTAAAAATTTTTAACTTTTATTCTATTTGTGCTAAAGGTGACATTTTACAGTCTGCAACTGATATAAGTAGTCTACTATTAAGGAAAATAGCAGATGAAAATAAAATATGAAATTATACTAATAAATCATAAAGAAATAATTTGTTTTTATGCTCTCTTGTTAAACAATCAATTTTTACATACAACATTTTGCACTAGCAGTAGTGAAATGCTTGTTGAGTATGCATTGGTATTTTTTTTTTTATTAAGAATAATCAAATATGAAATCTTCAAATACGGCAATCTTTCGCATTTGAATATTAGCTGATAAATGAAATTCGTGGATATCAAACTCACGAATATTGAAGGGTAACTGTATTTCCGAATCGCTTTCTCCCAGAGATTTTATTATCATACCAAAAATTGTATACCTTGTAATATAGATATATTTTAGCCAATGAAAATGGTGAGGAAGCTATACTGACTTTTTTATTTTTTTATTTAAATGCCAATCATTTTAATGATCAATTTATAAATCGACCTTTATTATAATAAAGGGGGAGGAAAATGACAAACATGTTTTAAAAGGTTGACCCTGCCAGTATTTCAAGAAATAAAAATCTTTAAAATACTTACAGGTCAGAATGTGAAGTTGGAGAAATCCTGAAACTAACTCCTCTAGGAACTGTATCAGAAGAATAAAGCGCTTTAAGCTCACTTCCGAATAGATGTGTGGCGAATCCAAAGTTACAGCTCTGCTTATGAAATACTGCTACTAGATCATCTGGTACTACATCTCTGTTTGTATCTAGATAAAACAAAAATAAAAAGTTAAATAATAAACAAAAATGAGGGAAAGTCATATAGGAAAGAATTATATTCAACAAACCTGCCTTAAATTTTGATTTTATAAAATTACTACTTTTGAGTGCTGTTTCCTACAGTTAAGCAAACTGAAATTACTAGAAGTTTTTAGTTAGTTGCAACCAGAATTCCATTGACACCTATCTATCGCAGTCAAGATCCATTTAAAGAGTCTACTTCATATTAATTTTCAGTTTAATTATTAAAAAATTCTCACATAGTAGCACTAGAATATTTCCCACATAAATGTCTTCTGTTCACCGTATTCTCATATAACTCAATTAAGCTCCTTTTCTAAGCTATACATTTTTATTTCGGCTTCCCTCGTATCACTAACTAATTCAAACATGCTAGTCTTAAAATATATAATTTCTAAAGGAGCTAGCCATGACAACAGACTTCAGAAATCCCAAAACAGAAACTTGATGGTAAACAAAATTAAATCAAAAGCATGTGTACAACAATCCTTCATTCTACCGTATGTCCTGTAGGTTTGTGTAAATTGTTGCATAGGATAATGTAATTACTTACTAATCTAGTTTATTTTAAATTTTAGATTCATTTAATTTTCTACACTAATTATTTAATATAAATAATTGAATACATTTTGATGATATACATCATATGCATATGGAATCCCTCTGGAATTCCATCCCTGCTGATATTCGACATGCACAATCAGTTTCCTCTTTCAAACCTCTCCTCTTTAAACACCTACTCCTTTCTCAATCCAACTGATTACAATATATATCTTAGAGAACTATCTAAGTATCCCCAGAGACCATCTCAATTTGTTCAGGGCATTTTAGTTTCTTATATATATGTACAATTCTCTTGTCTTTTTCTATATTCTTATTTTTAATTAACTCGTATTATAAATATATAATTTATTTATGACCACAAAGACATGCAATCTGTACTTATAATTTTTTCTAAAGGGACAACAGTCCCAGAATAATAAAATATATTTTCATTTCATTTCATAATTTGATTCATAATTCAGATCCAACACAGAGTATAGAAAAACATAATTTAAATATTTTTATAATTTCTGATAATTATAAATATAGTATGATCTTAATACCTAAAAAGTCAGTAGCATCATAAACAACCCTGCCAGCAAAATGCTGAATACCAAACATTCTGGGTTCAATAGGCTTTGGTTCAAATAGCCTACTATTAGATCTATGCTGAGCTTTCACTTTGGTAATATATCCTTCTGCAGAACCACGGATGGAACATTCAACATCCAGCATGCTAAGGAGACCAGTTCTCTAAAATTAAATTACAACAAATGAAATTATTACATTCAATACATAACAACAAGATAATGTAGCATACATACAAATAAAAATAGAGTTAGGACTTTAACTAACCAGTGATGAAATGAGGTCAATACATGGTACATTGTCCACATAGTCGACTTCAACATCAGAATGGATCCCTTCATCCCGGCAGCTCTCAATTGAAGACTTGAAGATATGAGTGTTATAAAAATGTTGCATGGTTTCTGAGCACAAGTTTATACAGAGATGTTCCAAATGACTTGGCTAGAATATAAACATTTTTTTTTAGTTTTCGATGAATTGCCTTAAATTTGTTTATATTTTAAACTTAAAAACATTAGTAGCAAAGATGGATTTTCAGAGAATAGGTATTATATTAATCTTAATATAGCAACTAAACATATATGAAACATATGTCACGACAGAGGTAAATCAACAAAAGTGGAGGATCTAAGCAGTAAAAATTTTAATGTGACCTAAATAACTTAATTTTGGTCTCATCAATTATTCCTTATGTTTATGATGAAATAAAATAACCAAATAGAAAACTATATAATTAAAAAAAATTATCATAAATAAAAATTAAGAAGTCCCATTAATACTTCATAAAAAATATTGTACCTCAAATGTTTATCTACATTTAACGATCATATGTGAATTTTTTTTTATTTAATGCTTTCAATAAACTGCCAAAAAAGTTGGTTTTTTTTTTTTTTTTTCATGATTGATTATTTCAAAATAATGATCATTATCAACCAAGAGAGATAGTTTTAAAGTATTCTATCTATAATGCATAAATGATAGAATAAAGGATGTATAAATTTTATTTAAAATTCAATGATTAGACAAAATTAAAAAGCCATCAAAAAAACATTATTTTTGCTAAGCACCTTGGGATCCTCAAATCCAAACATGTCCAGAATTCCAATAAAGCCATCAGTAGCATGTCGAACTGCATTGTTCAATGCAGTCATAGATTTACTGGACTTAGAACCAGCAGTACCAACTGTAGAAGCATGCTGGCTAGCCACCTATAAAGAAAACAAAATGTTCAGTAAGGTAAGACTTATATAATATAAATTAATTATTTTATTTTTCATTCCTGTAAAATCTTGAAACAAATTTTTCAGATTTTCTACCAACCAGTATAACAGATTATGAACTGAATAAATGACACTTAAATGATGAACTGATTAATAAACTAAGAAATAAATTAAAGAACAAAAGTAAACCTCAGCTTGGTTGTGGACGGACTCATTAGAGTCACTACTCAGGGTACCCAGGGTTGAGCCTAATCTTTTAAGTGAATTTGCTCTCCTGACGATTGTTGCAACTGTTCTGCAGTAAAGTGCCTTAGCGAGAGAATCCCTTATCATATTAGACTGCAATCAAAGTAAACTAATGAACAAAGTAATACGTTTGACATTACGATATTAATATTAACAACTAGAGTATAAGACTTATTATTTCCAAATCCACTAATAATTAAAATATTTCTTACAATAAATAACTTCCTGTTATTCTATTCTCTTCTATAATTTGTATTGTTTGTATTAATGTACCCTATCATTCAGAGTAATGAATAATTCAATAAGTAATGAGGGTTAAAACAGTATTTGTTGATTAATAAATTCATTAACGAAATGGCAAGAACATATTTGACTCCTAGTCATAGCTATATTTAAGTCAAAAAATGTTTTCTTGTATTCCATAAAATATTACATATTAGTCTAGCATTGGGTACTTCCTAAGCCAGCATTTGTCTATGTCATAATTAAATCATTTTTAGTATTTGGCTTTATAATTTCTATGTTTTATGTGAATACATAGATAAATGTCTTAATTTACGCTCCACAAAGAGAAGAATGCTCAGAAAAAAAACTATAATTACTCTTAGACGCATTCTGCATTACTTAAAGGTTAAGTATTTGATATTCTATTTGGAAACATTAGTCTGCAAATTAAAGTATTTGCATTAATTTCTTTCTTTATCTACTAATCTAAATACATAAGAATACTATATTACTTATCAACAAATTTTCTAGATCTAAGAATTATATCATCATTTACAAGCTTATCTATGTATGACAATGAATGCAAGTAGTTTCTATTTTCTGCGATACCAATACAAAAGAAGCATTGTTTATATTTTTACAGGATGGCTATTGATGCCCCATTATCTCTAATATATATATTAAAATGTCCTTTAAGTAAAAACAACATACGTAAGCATTGATTCATGCAATTACTTTTGAAATTGATTCATGAAATTACTTTGAAAATCTATCATTTCATCACTTGTTTATTAACTTATTCTATAATTTGTAAATAAATATTATGGTAATTACCATGTTAGCATCACAGTATGATTTGATGATCTGTCCTCTTGCATTGTGAGTACGAGAAGTTATACCCCTCAATAATGCCTGAGGAGTAACCCCTAATAGGGATGCAACTGCATTCAGCTCAGCTTCTTTTTGAACTGTAACTTCCACTGATCCACATGAATCAACAAAAACGACATTACCAAGAAGTAGCACCCCAGCTAATACCCTAACAACATCCATAAAAGGGATGCCAAGAACACCTGTGGGAAAAAAAAACAATGATTTAGTTTAATGCCTCCAAAATTGGTCAAGGGATTGAGAAGAAAGAGGTTTCCCTTCACTCAGTCTCAGTAACTTCACTCAAAGTGTTTGTAGGATTTGTACTTTACATTGAAGTCTGTACTTCAAGTATTTGCACTATGAGTTGTGAAGAGTCACAATCTGGATAGAAAAATTGGAAAGAAAGAAAATATGGATTCCAAATTTGAAAATGGAGCCCTTAACATAATGATGATTTGTTTAAAGTAGCGAAATTCTAGGAAACAAAAAAGAAGAAAGTGTATGAATCAAAACCAGGCATAAACATTTTTTTTCTTCATCAGTTTGTCAAAAGAAAAGGCCAAATATTAACTAAAGCTGATATTTAGAGTCTGCAATATTTAAAACAGCCAATAACTAAAGCTGAAAGTACTATTAGATCTATTTCTAAGGACTTAATGTGCTTCATAAAAGGTATACAATTCCTATGGGATCTTAAGAGAACAAAAAGTGTTCACAAAATATTCAGTTCGGTAGCGGTAAAAAAGGATTTCCAAATCATTCAATGTAATAACAAATCCTGCTTTCAAAAAGCAACAAAATAAAAAGTAAAATTTCAAACTTAAAGGTTTTCTTTATAAGATATATGAAGTACTTTTAAACAGTGCTGGTCTTAGACATTCGGTATCCCCAGGCAATGAATGAAGTCATCTTCGATCATTATTTTAATACATTTTATATATATATTTTTCAATTTCTTACAAGTGGCGAGTGACATAATAAGGAACATTAAGGATTTTATGAAAGATATTGGATTATAAGGATTGGATACGGGAAGAATTCGATGGTTTTGTGGAGGCCTTATGTTAAAGATTAAATTTTTACATAATCAACATTGATTTCTTCCTGCTGAACCAAGATTATTGCAAGAAATAGCATAGTAGAACAATTTTCCAAGCCAACCAGTAACATAAGGATAGCAGTAAATTGTTCTTATCATCAAAGAAGCCCAGCAACCAATTAAGTAGTTATGATAAGATTGGGATGGGCTTGATGGAGCGTTACCATTAACTAGTATTTATAATGAACCAGTACCTATCAGTTCATAAAGTTAATAGATAAAAGAGTATGTGAAATGGCAGCAAAGATTTATGGTAGTAAAAATAAAGAAATAAACATTGAATTTTATAGTACATATTCTTATCAGTTATTAGCTCATAATTTTACCTCTATATTTATAATCTTTTCCAGTTCCATTATAAAAAAATCAACAATATTATTTTAATAGTTTGAATTCCTAATTAAAATAAATTAAACAATTAATAACAAATATTTTACCTAGACATGCTTTCCATGCTTGAAATCTGGTAGCATCTTCTGCTTCATCTTGCCTAGTGTCTCCGCACTTGAGATAACTTAAATTATGAAGGTTGTAACCATCAAGATTCAGTTTCACTGAAATAACAATAAATTTATTTTAACTAATCCATTTGTAGTTATGTTATTGAGCTTTTAAATTGCTATTATAACCATACAATCTCTATCAGCTTAATACATATACAAACAAACATAAATGCATCCTTCCAACAAAAACTTAGGATTATGTTTCTACTCCCTAATATTTAAAGAATATACTATATAATATATACAATAAATCAATTGCATATGATACACACCTCTCTCTTCTGGTGATAGGCCCGCTAGCATTTGATAAAATATATGGTAATTTTTTTCATTTTTTAATGGTCGGATCACTCTTGTCTGATCAAGGAAGTAACAATGAATTTTGGTTCTGTACAGTGCTCCATCTGTTACTTGGACTTCAATGAAATGACCCTACATACACAAATTATAAGTAAAAGTATTTCTAGTAACATCAAATTTTGATCATATCTCTTATAATATTTATTTTCTAACAATAAATTCTATTTAAATATCAAATGGAAACTAAAGCTACATTATTTTTTAACATTTATTTACATTATTTTGTTTCTTAGGAAAACACTTTACCCCCTTTCCTGGCCAATAACTCAATCACTTTTCCATCTTAAATATTTATTGAACAATTCATAACTTACTGTCAAATTTAATGTAAAAAAAAAACTTTAAAATTCTTACAATACGACTAGATTCAGAATTTGATGTGGTTTTGGCCGAGCCAAGTGAACGAAGGACAGTGAAGGCAGCAGCGAGGTGCTTGAAAGCATCTGTCTCAGGACCACCTCCAGCAACTTCAAACAACTGTCGTAAGAGTAGCATGGAAGCATAGGTTTTCCCAGCACCAGATGTCCCTAAAAATAAACAGATTTAATTTATAGGTGATAATGGATTGATATATTGATAAGCTTCATAATATTAAAATATTGTAAATCACTTTGGGTCTTTTAGTATTTAATAAAATTATATAAAACTCTATGTTTACTTTTATATCGTTGTGTAACTTATTCATAAATTTTCCAGCCACACCTTTAGCTGATTACAGAACAATTTGATATTGGTCTATAATTGGTATATATAGGGTGTCCCGTAAGTAGAGGAAAATATTAAATAGGTTGATGGAAGACATCAAGATCTACATAAAATTTTGTATAAGCAAATTCCTTCAGAAAAGTAGGAAATTTAAAATTTGTGTTTTTGTAAGAGAGTCACGTTTTTCTTAAACAGGAAGATATAACTTATATTTTTTTTATTTAAGTAGTTGAAAATTTCTTCATAGTAAACTAGATACAATTTAGTTAAAAAAAGAAAAGTAAGAAACAAGTAAAAAGAAAAGTAGAGTTTGCAATTTTTAAAACTATTTAAAGAGGACTTTTGAGAGGCTAAATACAGCTAAGCTCCGTTTAAAAAAAGGTCATAAAATATTTGTGATTTTTTTTTTATCACTCTTTGACTGTACCACATATACCCCAGATTCAAAAAAACTTCCTCGTTTCATAAGTCCATGTTGATTAATTGAGGTTTATTAGGAAAAATAATGAGATTCACCTCAAGTTGAGTAAAAAAATGATGTGATTTCCAATCCAGTCACCTTAAATTACCAGTGTTTTCAGCAAAAATGACCACAATTAACTGTTGCAAAACTTTTATTTCTTGTTTTTCCTTGATATGGGATGGATTGTATTAAAAATATTGCCTAAAAGCACATTTTACTAATAAATATAAAAAAAATTAAAAATAACGATTTTTTATATATTTTTCACATTAAGTGGTTATAAAATTGATTTTTTCTCCCAGATATCCATCATAGGAATTGATACGTATTTATCAGTGACTAAATTTATATTTCTAAATAAAATTTACATTTAAAATAAAGAAACTTACTGATTCCTTCAATTATTTTCATGGAAATGTAAATATTATGGCTGGAAACATTAAGTTTGTCACTTATATAAAAACACTAAGTTTTTGTAAAAGTGGGGTAAATGTAGTACAGTTGATGGATGATTAAAAAAAATAACAAATAATTTATGCCTCTTTTTAAACAGAACATAGCTGCATTTAGTCGTTCAAAAGTCCTCTTTAAATAGTTTTTACAAAGACAAACTCTACCTTCGTTTTAAGTAAATTTTATCTAGTTTACTATGGAGCAATATTTAATTACTTAAATCAAACATTTTTTATGTTATCACTTCCGATTAAAAAAAAAACGTGACACTTGAAAAACACAAATCTTAGATTTTCGACTTGAAATTGGGCAACTTTTATATGAACTTTTTTATAGAGCTTGATGTTTACTACCAAACGCTTAAATATTTCTCTCTACTTATGGGACACCCTGTATATGTACAAATGATAGCCTACCTGAAAGTATAACAGCTTGAGGATATCCAGTCTCTGACTGATGCCTCACTGCTTCTTGAACGACCCTAAGCAGTTTGGGGCTGAGGGGGACACTTCTGGTTGAGCTCAGGGTAAGTGGGTTGCCTACGTCATTGTAGCCATTTACTGAGACTAAGATGGGGCCAACATTTGTCTGTAAATAATAAAATACAATGCATTAATGATTAAATGATGGAAAAAGAGATTTTTAGTTTTAAAAAACATCAATTCAGTTATTAACTCAGAAATAATCAACTTCTTACTCATTAAGATAAATTTTAAACTTTAATTTGAACTACAGTTTTAGTTCTGATAGGGAATCATTAAAAGTGGGTTTAATTGAAAGAAAAATTAGTCTTTTATCGACTTTTTTTTTCTATACAGTCAATTAGTTAATCGTTCATGAAAAACTTGGGAAATTCTAACAGTGTGTATTTCACCAGCAATATACACACAGGTTTTGAGGTCAACAGATTTTTTTACGTACTTAAAAAAAAAAAAATCAGTCCAATTTTAAGCTAAAATGGCTTCTTATATAAATTCTTCAGTATTAACATTGAACCATTTTTAAATCTATTATATAGTAATAATTAATGTACAAACACTTCAAGCAAACAAATTTTAACAGCAAAAATGATGTAGAATTATAACAGGACTGTTTGTCTTAGAATAAAGATAATTTTTTCTCTTTAATTTTAAACATAGTAAAAGGAATATAATTTGATTAGTTTTTTTATTTTTTTTTTATGATTATTTATAAATCATAGGATGATTTTGGATAAATTAATTTCTTTAAAACATACTCAGAAATAGAAATAGAAAAACATCTTTATTCTGGGACTAGGTCTCTTAAGAATATCAAAATTGTCCAAACCAATTGACAATAAATCTGGCCAGATGACCTATTATAATAAAGAGTAACTAAAATCTAAGTAATAAAATGAGTATCTACATAGTTTTGGAGAGTATATTAAGGAAAGCAGATGGCTGCTATTAGGGTTATAATATTATAATATTGGTACAAAAAAAAAATATACTAATAATTAAATAAAATTGAAAAGAAATGCTAAATAAATTTTACAGGTAACTAATTTTAGTGATAAAATATAAAAAACTAGAGTAAATAAATGATTTATATATGTTCCTTTAGACGTTTAAGTGAAAACACATGAAGATATTGTGAAAAACTAGGGAAGATGAGGGAAGATACTTGGAGTCTATGTGTGGGTATGGGTAGGAGATGACGGAAGCGATGGAATAGTTTCAAGGTACGAATTGACCGTCGGGAGATGTGAGCAATATGGTGATTCCAGGAGAGGGTTTGCTCGATGAAAATGCCTAGGTTTTTTTACTGAGGAGCTGAAGGTGAAGGGTTGGTCATTAGGTATAGGATAGGAATGTTGGTATTGGATCTGAGAAGTGATTTGGAACCAATGACAATGGCTTGAGTTTTGGCAGTATTTAATCTTAATCCATTTAAGTTTGGCCAAACAGTGATCTAATTTAGGTCTTCTTGAATTTTGGCAAACGCATCATGCAACTCTGAGGGAGAAAAGGAAAAATAAATTTCGGAATCATCGGCATATAGGTGATAGGAACAGTGAAGGATGGATTTATGAAGGTCATTGATGTAGAAACTAAAAAAGAAGAGGTGATATGCTAGAGCCCTAGTCCACTTCAGAGGTCAGAGTAAGACAGGAAGACAAAGGTTGATTGGGAATAGGAAAGGTTAGAGAGGATTGAGATTGGACGGACATCTTCAAGGGAAGTAGAATTAGAATTTTATTTAAAGGATGGATGATGGCTTTCTTCCAAGAGGTAGGAAACACGGAGTTCTGAAGGAAGAAATTATAAATGAAAATGAGATACTTACATAGGTATGATTGTCAATGAACCTTGCATGAAGTGCCTTGAGCACTGCGTCTTCTGTCAGAGGACCAGGGAGGTGGATGAGGTCCTCTATGTCAGCCCCCCATGGGGGCATAGCCTCCCCTCCAGCTTTATCTGGATCTGGAAATTTGAAACAGATATTATTAATCTAGCAGTATAGGACTTCACTGGGAGTCTTGAGCCGATGAAAGGATAAAAAAAAATATATTAATCTACTATAAGAACAATAATAACATTACCTAACTTCAATTGACAAATTACAAGTAAATACATACAAAGTATTTTGTAAATTTACAAAGTTTGAACAGTTCTTAACAATTTATTAATACGTAAGTAAGTAAATATTTATTTAGTATTATTAAAGTTACAAGTTACAAAATACACACAATTTAAATGAAAGCTTTCCATAAAAAGCTAATAAATAATTCTAATGATGAAATCAATGTAATGATTACGAGTTATTACAAGTAATGTGCATTCTGCAGTAGATCATTATCCAATCTATAATGAAATGTTAAATCAATTACTTTAGGACATCTAAAAAAATAAATAAAGGGAAGTAGTAAGTAGGAAAGTCCTTTGGAAATATGAAATAACAAAATGGAACTATTAAGATAATTCTAAAGTTCTGCCTTGAGGTTCAGTCAGTGAATAAAACACTATATTGTGGCATCATTTGTAAACATTTCATTTTCGGTGGAAAAACAGATTTATAGAACATTATCCATAGAATATACCAACAAATGATAATTTAAGTTAAAGAAATTAGTAGCGAAATTGTACTTTAAATTGACATTCCCTACATTTAACTATTAAATAAATAATAAATTAAAGTGAACAAGCTTTAATAAAAGACTGACATGAGAAAACTTAGTGAGGGACAGATAGGTAAGACAGTAATGGAAATTATTTGGTAGGACAGGCGACTACAGGATCTACAGGGGATGGGAGGGAAGGAGTCTTGGTGGCTGAAGTCCCTCCCTCCCCCAAAATAGTAACATGTAACCATATTTTAAGGAAAAAAATTGTCTCTTAAAGTATTATTGTTCGTGTAATTACATTTAATAGAACTTCAAGAATCACTTAAACATCATTTCAAATAGGTAGTTAGTATACTTCTTTTTTTGTGAAAGTAATTATCGTTATATATTTGAAAAAAAAAATTCGGGCTGAAGCTCCTCCCCCCTCCAAAATTAAATCCTAAATCCGCTAGTGTTTGGTACCAAACTAGAAAAATTCTTAATTTTATTGAATTTACAAAAGCAGTTTTTTAAATAAATTAAATAAAATCTATCAAAGAATCAACAATTTTTACTTACTTACCACCGAAGATAGATATGCTTTTTATACATGAAGGAAGTAAAAATAAATTTTTCCCTCTGAATCGAAAATTTCATTGTAGTCAAAAACAAGTTAATGGTAATCAATAATACCTACTAATGTTAATACAATTTTGTTTGAATTTACAAGAGTTTTTCGAGTTGTTATTGATCACTAAAATGGTCTTCTATAAATTTTATCCTCAACTTTCACTTAGGTTTGTCAGACATATTTTTCTTGATATGCTTATAAAGGTGTGCACAAATGGTTTCGAATTAATTTAATTACAGTCTCATCAGCAGTTGGAATGAATGCTTTTTGAGTTACTAATGAAACAGGAGATCTCAGGTTCCGCTGTCTTTTTAATCCTCTTTCAGGTCGACCAGATAACCTGGAAGTGGAAAGTGATAGAACCAGTGGATTAGGGTGATTAAGAGTTGAAAAGTGAGATGTGGTGAGTTTGTCATATAAGAATTTACAATTGGTATATTCATGTCGTTGTAGATGGTTTGGTTTGAAATAAACCAAGGTGTATTTTTTCAAATAATAATGGATTATGCAGTTTGTATTTTGTTTTGTGAAACCATAAAGTTCTGCTCGATATGCCCAAATATGTCTATGTAGTTTAAACAGTCGCCTTTTTCTTAAGTTGAGTGAGGATTTCCAGATGAGTAATCAAAAGATTTCAGGTTGTAATAATTATCGAATAGATGAAACATATGATCGAAAGCCTAGAGCTAGTGTATTATTTTGACAGAATATAGATGTACGGTGGTAGGAAAAAAAGAAGTGAAACTGGATTTAAAGTTGTTCATTTTCAAAAGGAAAGGAACGGTCCGAGAACTCGATATTGACAGACTTCGTAGTCGAATCACCACAGCGGAAATGAAGGACGACTGGGAAAACAAAAAGATACCGCGTAAGAAATGAACGGTCAGTTCCATGTGTTACCCTTGGTCATTAGTCCGAAAATTCATAACTCCGTCGAAATTTGCCCTCCTTAAAAATTTTGATGGCGCACCTTGCGCCATGAAACACCCTACGGCACCCCTGAAGAACCGTACAAGAAAGACGGTTTTCAAACAAATGGAACGACTGGGTAAAGTCAGAGGTGAAAGGTCGGATGAGATGAGGTAGCTAGCCGTTAATAGTGAGGATTGTCAAAATTGGCTTAAAGCGCCGTTAATGGACTACTGAAATATTTCAATTAAGAGGATCAAGGAGTGTCAACCTTCTTGATATCACATATGTCTATTTAAAAAAATACAAAAATAAATTCAAAAATGAATCGCAAACTGATCAATCTAGAGTTGGACTTATAAATGGACTTCATGAAAACGTATAAGAACTTCGCTAACACTTTTAATTGATTATGGGAAATACAGAACGGATTAAAAAGAAACATTTATTCTCAGAATAAATAATTCAAGACGATAATTTTATCATTGATACCACTAAACTAAGTCTAATGAAATGTGATACAACAATTCAAACTCATACCGATGATAATATTGATTAACCGCGAAGTTGGAGAAACAATAATATATATATATATATATATATATATATATATATATATATATATATATATATATATATATAAAATAATGATTTAACTAACAAGAGATTTCTAGGTGACGATATAATTATCCCAATCCTAGTAAAAATAAACTAAAGTTTTCACCCATATCATTTTGGAAATTCGCAAAATTCTCTTTAAGAGAAGAGAATTTACACAAATTTGAAAAATGGCTGAACTTGTTCAGATCCCGAAAAAAGGCATACGTTGAAGTAGGCCTCTACCTGCGATGAGCTACATTATTAAAAACAGATTGTTTCACTTTCTTTCGACTTTGTACTGTTTCATAAAATCAATTTGGATGCACTGTATAGGTGGATCTACGGGAGGGGGCTTTCGGGCTGAAGCCCCTTCTCCCCCAAAATGGTAAAATATAACCATGCTTTATGAAAAAAATTATCTCTAAAAGTGTTATTGTTTGTCTTATTACATTTAATAGGATTTAAAGAATCACTTAAATGCCATTTCATATAGGTACTTAGTTTCTTTCTTTCTGCTGAAGTAATTATCGTAATATGTACATACAAAAAAAATCTTTCAGGCTGAAGCCTACCCCAAAATTGTGTCCTGGATCCGTTAGTGACGCACTGTGTGTTCTTAATGAACAGATCTCTACCTGATTAGACCAAAGAAGAAACTTGCTGGTAGCCAAAAGTATCTGCTAATTCATCGGTTTGGGAAAACCGAAGATTCTTGGATAAGGAATATTAATATACGTTTTGTTTTCAAAAACTTATTATTTATTTTTATTTTTTTTCAGAGAAGATTAAAAAATATTATAAAAAAGTGAGATAACTAGAACATTAGTATTTATAAATTAAAAAAAAAAGGTTTTAAATATGAACATTAATAAGATATAAGGAAAAAACTCTACAGAAAACAAAGAATGTATAACATAAATTTAATGTGAATCACACGGAACAATAATTCAGTAATCTGTGTGTGATACATTAATGTAACGTCGGCACCATGTTTAAGTAAAGAATGTGAGCCTGTTTAACGTTGCACATTCGTTAATTTAACATAGTGTAGGCGATATGACAATAAAAGAAAAAGTGAAATAATATAAGAAATTAAGCGAAAAAGTAAATAAAATAAACTTTTCAAGTGTTTGTTTCAATAGGGGAACATCATATAAATATAAAAAGGATCCTTAATATTGAAGGTTCTTCAATTGACATTGTTTTAAGCACAATGAGTATATTTTTTGGTGGCGGAACATAGACAATTTTACTAAAACAGATTTCGATACCTCCGCGGGGGACAATTCATTGACCTCGGCCTGAACATTAGACAAGACAAACGGAGTGACCTTGTGAGAGCGTATTTTTGCTGAGACGCCGTGGACATGCACGGGTCATCGCCCGCCGCTAACACAATAATTAGCAATAACTTCCAGCAAGGTGTCATTTCGATCCCAACCGCTCCATTACTTAGTTCTTGTCTAAAGTTCACGGTTCCAATTGCTGTTCAACTTCAAAGAAATTAATTCGAAAGAAAGAAATCATCGTTTTCAACTTTCCATTTCAGCCAAGGAGTAGTCATTTAGGATTTTTGCAGGTACAGCTCATCCCATTTTTATTCATAGAAATCTTTGTTGATTAACGTACGCTTAAAGTAACAAATTCATGTATAATTCATGCATTAATTTCCTTTTTAATTTGCGCATGTTATTCATATCAAAGAAATGAAACATACGGATCTAAATATTGCAGAAAGAAAATCAGATCAGTGAACTGAATTCAATTCAAGCTAAACTTGGGACCAATAATGTATGAGACGAATAATATCTAATTTTCGTGATAAGCTAATCACTAAAAAAGGATCTATTTTAAGGCGAAGGTAAAGAGTTCACTCCACTCACTTAGTGACGGTTTTAATAAGATTTTTCACTTTTTTCATTTCGAATTTTGACTTGCGGAGAAGAATCTGTGTCTCTAGATTCAATATTGTAATTGATGTGTGTCAAGGAAGTTTATTGAATATTTGTTATTTTAATTCCTCAAAATAGGGCTAGGGTGAGGTCAAAATGTATTCCGTGGTTTTGTCACGAACAAATATTCAAACCACTCAGCCCAGATTCGACCGGAACCGACGCAAATTGGCTCAATTACTAAAAGTTTCTCCAAATTACAAGCCCGCAAAAATATGGTTCCCTCCAAAAATTCAAAATCCACTCAAAATATACATCCTTCAACAAATATTCATTTCCAGCGTAACT